TTTGCTTATTCACCCGCTTTGTCTTCAGCGGTTGTGTCGGGAAGGTGAGCATCATAGAATGCCAATTTAATTGAAGAAAGTATTCTTGTGTTGATCAACCTCAATTCTTAAGGCATGAGTAAACATCAAAAGTTCTCCGCACAAAACAGACCTATCTGGGAATAATGGCTCTTCTGCTCTGTCTTGCTTATCTTGTTAAATGTTAAATGTTGACACAGAACTGCCAACATTTTGGCAGTTACATCAATAATTCACATGTTAGAAACAATTTTTTAAAAAAAATTTAGTGTATAATGATGCCTTCATTTTAAAGATGATGTCAACTATTCATTATCCCCATAATTCTATGAAAAATTACACAACACTTTTACTACCTACACTTCACAATGCATGCGGTTTCCAGGTGAAGTCAGTGACCTCGTTCTTGATCTCTAAAAAGTACTGTTTTTAAACCAGAAGACAATCCAGGAGACTGGTAGAATCCCTCAGGATAAACCAACAGAGGGAAAGTGCTGGGACATGGACTGTAAAAAACCCTGGGTTTGTGTTCTTGCTCAACAACCAAGTGTGACCTTGATGAATTTTGTTATCATGCCAGTGCTCTGGTTTTTCTTGAAAAAAATATTGCAATAACATCGATTTTGTGCAGGTTGGGAGAAATAAAAAGTGAGAAAATAAGTGAATGAAGGGCAGGGCATGTGTACAGCAGACGCTTCACAAGGTCAAGTTCACCTTTCCTGCTCATTCTGCTTGTGATCTAGCTCATGCATGCTTGGGCTTTTCAAGCTGCTAGACAGCCTTTGTAATCCTGACTGTAATGGGTGGGGGATATGTCCCTGGATGCATACCAACATTTTCATGAGCCCTCAATCACTGGGCATTATTTCTAATTTTTTTCTCCTTTTTCTTTTCCAAAAATAATGTTGCTAATATAAGCTATGAGTGACCTTCAAAAACCCTTTAGTCAGGATGAGTCCATACTTATCAAGAAAAATACAGATGGTCAATTTCTAATTTTAAACACCAATCCAAATAAACATTTCTCTAAATTACATGCACAATGAATGGCTTCACAGTGCAGGACAAAAATACCACCACCTACTCTGTCTTCCTACAAGAATTCTGTTATTACATCACCCATTATTATCTGTGAGTTCTTTGATGTCTGCAGACATTTCTGAGTTACCCTTCCCTCACAGTGCCTAGGACAACTATCAGTAAACAGCTACTAAACTGAGGGTGAAGTTTGTTCACAGCCTGAATTACTAGAGATGCTAAATAGATACATAGTTCAGACTTCCTGTTATCCTGAGGGGGACGAAAGGAAACAGGGAGGGAGAACCACGGTTGGAGAACATTCCTTTCTAACCAGAAATAGAAGAGGCCTAGTGATGGGGCTGAGAGAAAACAGATGGCTCTGTGGGATAGCCGTTATTTCTTGAATCACTTTATTATCAAAGTATCTGAACCTGACTATAAGGGCAACTCGAGGGGATGATGAAAAACATTCAGAGGCTTGAAGTCAGTGTCCACGTTCACGTGGCAGCGGAGAGGAGCGTGTCTCACGGACGACGACAATACTTGCTTCAGAGGGTCCTTTTCCCTTCCCTTCAGCAAGGCAAAAACGGGTCTGCTTGACGGTCAATGCCAGGTGGCCAAGGGATCACTGCATCCAAATGCTGAGGAACTGAGAACGAGTTTGATCTTCACTAGACTTTCTTACGTTAAACCAATAAGGATTACACGGTCAAGTAGAGCAAGCCACATAAACAAGCTTTATTTGTATGATTAAACTGCAGCCTGATGTGGTGCTGCTGTGTTAAGAAGGGTTGAAGAGCATCAAACAAGGAGAAACACTTTTAATATTTTTCTAAGAAAATGCAATTAGAATGTTATGTCTATTGTCAGGAACGAGTTGTCCCTGCTAATAACAATGGTGTTTTTTGAATGAACTTAGTGGTGAATTATCTTTGTTAGTGTGTTACTCATTAAACAAAAGTAATAAGAAATTGGCATTACAAAGTTAATGTGGGATAACATCTCATGGGAACATATTATAGTCATTAACTGCTTTCCTATAAGTAAAAATCCATGTAGATTGAATATGTACATATTCAAATACATCAGTCAATTTTAAAGCAACTATAGAACTAATTTATTGATTTAAATGTAAATATGCATCTATTAAAAGCATTAAATGATTTTCTTTAAAAAACCTGTAAATAGATAATGAGTAAAATGTCCGTGCATTTTCTTATTTGAGTGAATAGAAATTGATTCAATCTGTACACAGGTATACTAAATATAACATCACTTTCTAAACATAACAGGGAATGGATTCTCCAAAGCCAACAAACGCACATAAACAAACAAATGCATGATTTTCAACTTGAAGAACTTACTCTGGAGATTGTTTTTTGTCTTTATTCCCCATGTCGCGCCCAACAAGCAAATCTGCAAGTCATTTTTGCCAGTGCATTGCCAGCTAGGTTCCTTGAGTTTGATTTAGTCTCTCAGGGTCCACATTCTCTACTTTAGTTCGGGTTCATCTACTTGGCATCTAGTCACTTAAATGTTTTCCCATCAATAACCAGGTAGTCACTAAATCACTTCTGTGGATTAGCCTGGAGAAGAACATCAACACGTGTGGTGTCTACCCTGTTACAGCTTACATGCTAGTTGAGAAAACAGATAGAAACAAGAATGGAAACAAGTAGAGAAAATAATTGAGACCTATAAGTCAATGGAAGAGACAACAAATAGTAAAAATAAAAGCAGAGTAAAGTGGGCAAGATTTCTGAGGAGTTAATCTGGAAGCTGCATGTCTCCTTCACTTCCGGTCAATTTCAAACACACGCACAGCAGTATTATCAACGACCTATGTTTAAAAAATCCAGTGTTGCATTTTTTTTCTTCTTGTAGGAAATCATCTACCTTTCAAGCTAGCAATCCAGAGACTTCCTTTTTTAGCTTGGGACTTGAACCTTCATTACACTTTTTAAAAGGTTCCTCCAATTTTTCAAAATT